TGGCTGGACGTCAGCCCACTGCTTAGGCAAGCCGTCAGCACATTTGCGCACGTGTTGCCTAGTAGGCAGGCTGAAGGCTCCGACCAACACACGGCTGTGCGAAGCGGGCTGGTGGCTGATCTTCAGCCCGCTGACTAGGCAAGCCCTCAGTAGGTGTGTGTACTTGTCGCCATGTAGGCTGGCTGAAGACACTGCCCAACACACACCTGTGTTTTTGGTGCCATTTGCAGGGGCCGCGGAAGTGGGGGGCAAGGGGGGCCAAATGCCCCCCCCAAACTTCGACAGGGGGGGCGAAGCCCCCCCCGTTTTTCCACGCTAAGCGCAGATGTTCTCTAATTTGTGTTCTGAATTCTGTAACGATTGCAGATTGCAGTACACTTACAACTCTCAGTCATTAATAAGATATTAAAATGATGATTTTTTGCATTAAAATCGGTGTTTCCATTCAAACTCTCAACAAAGTGCACGCATTACCTCATGGTTGCCACAACTCTGAAAAGCCTTGAAAACCTGGAACACTCAGGGAAGTTAAAACCTGTCGGGGAAATCAGGGAAAACTCAGGGAAAAGAGAAAAAAGTTAGGGAAATTTGATCTGATTGGTCACCAAACTGCATTGTATTCGCTTTTCAGTTCAAACACACATTTTGACGTCCCAGCAGGGTGTTTTGACCCAAAATTTTTCGCGCTCGCTTCGCTCGCGGTCTTACTTTGCAGTTAGGAGTGTTTGTTTGCCCCCATATTTCACCAGGAACGTTGCTTAAAAGGGGCTGGAAATCAGGGGGAATTGAAATTAAGATTTTGTGGCAACCATTTATCTATAGGCGTGTGCACCTGGTAGGTAGGCAACCCACACAACAGGGCCCAAGTCGGCCCCCCCCGCCGCGAAGCACTTCCGCGGCCCCTGGCCATTTGCCTACTTTCCTGGCAGCACTAAGCGCGGGCCCTTGAGGGTAGAGGGGGAGAAACGTCTCCGCTGAGGGGCGGGGAGGGGAGGGTGGG